GAGAGAGAAAAACAGAGGGAAAGCAAGACAGCAAGCCTCCAGGTTTGAGACTACACAATAGTTGGGCCAGCAAGTGGTGTGGTGATTAAGGCAATGGACTCCCACATGGCTAACTGCAGTTCAAATCCCAGACCTGGTGGCTTGATTTCTTGCTTTCCTTTACTCTCTCTGTCTCTCTCTGATGACCATACTAAGTTAAAAAATAATACTAATAATAAATAAATAAATAAATAAATAAATAAATATTGTTTTAAAAAAAATACAGAATAGTCACTCATAAATAGTTCATTCATCCAAATACTTATTTTTAAAAATTATTTTAACTTTATTTATTTATTTATGTTTAATTTGACCAGAGAGGGGCAGAGAGAGAGAGAGAGAGAGCACAAGCAAGCCGCTGGGTCCAGGACTTGAACTGTTGTCGGCCATGTGGGAGTCCAGTGCCCTCAACCACCACGCCACCTGCCGGCCCCTATCCAAATATTTATAAAATACCTTGTCTGTGCTAGGAGCTGTGGCAGGGACTGGGGATGTAATGATGAGCAAATAACCATGCTTCCTGTTTCCAAGGAGCCTAAACTCCTGTGGGGAACACAGACAGGAAGCAATCCTATGTGCTACGAAGGTGATGAAGAGGGCAACATACATGATACTATGGACATTCGGAGGGAAGCAGTGGCTAAACCAGCCCAGAGGTATTAGGGAATCTTCCTGACAGAGTGACATTTAATTGGAGTCTAAAAGATGAATAGCAGTCTAAGGAAAGAGCCTTAGGAAAGAGGAAAGCAGTCTAAGGCTAAGGAAAGAGCCTTCCAAGCAGGGGGTCTGAGACTGGAACCATGATTGGGCATGTGGGAGTCTGGTGCACTAGTCACCCCGCCACCTGCTGGCCCTGTGTTTATAGTTTAAGATAATATTCTCAGGGCCAGTAGATGGCGTAATGGTTATGTTGCTGGATTCCCACGCAGTCAGCTGTGATTCTAGTCCCAGACCTGGTGGCTTCAAACTCATGTTGGGTGCATGTGCATACATCCCCCAAATCCCAAGAATGGAGAAGGGATTGCGGCATGGCAATCTTCTCCTGGGGGGTGATTTCTCACTTTCTGTCTCTCTGGTGAGCTCGCACACCCTATAGCAAAAATCTCTCAATGAAAGGACAATATTCTCTTACTAGACAGGAAAATGTACTGGAAAATCCGTAAACTTGGAAGCAGTGAAGAGGCTATTGTCATGTCTAGTTGAAAGCTAACAGTGGCTTGGGCTATAGCAATACTAGTGGAAATAGACAGTCATAGGTGAAGATAAGGGGTATTTAGGAGTTGATATATGGATGGAAGGAGAGATGAGAGTCAGGAATGTCTCCTGGAAAAATATCTGATGAACAAAAGACCAGATGGCAGGGCTTCCCTGTGGCTTTTTCTCCCAAAGTCAGGAGGTTTTGGTCAAGTAGATGTATGCCAGGGATCTCTGAGACTTTAGGGACCTATCAGGGATGTCCATTGTTTTTTGGAAGAAAATCCTGCTGTCTGGTCCTAACCGGGTTGTTAGGAAGTCTCTGCTCGTAGCTCGGGGTACAGAGGCAGCTGTAATTCACAGCTGCTGGTCTTACCCAGATCCAAGGTGTGCACATCTGAGAAGCTTCCATTTGGATCAGCTCCCCCAACAATAAAGACCTTCCCTCTCTTGGCATCACCAAGTGGGGGTAAATATGAGCAGCTGTGGCCAACCCGTGCACAGGGGCTGTCTCCAGGTAGAGTCAAGGTGTACCTGCCAAAAGGAAGATGTATTCAGGAGGCTGAGCAGAGAATCAATGTAGCAGTGTGCTCTGTCCGTGCCTCCTGCATAACGGCTCTTACACACACACACACACACACACACACTTTCAGATGGCCCGGATTGTGGGCAGGAGGTGCCTGGCACACTCACGGAGCTCTCTGGACTTGAACCAGGAGCCTTCCCATGTGGGAGCACCTCACAGGGTGTCACGCTTTACTGTTTTCTGGCCCCTTCTTCCCTTAGCTGCCAAGTTTTTATTCATTAAAAAAAGCTGCTCACATGTCCCTCTGCTGTGGTGTTCTCTGCTCCCCAGAGCTCCTCCGGGCTCAATAGGCAGCAGGCACACCCTTCCACAGGGCACCCCTCCGGGCTCGCTGGGCGGGCACACCCTCCACAGGGCACCCCTCTGGGCTCGCTGGGCGGGCCTCCCCTCCACAGGGCACCCCTCCGGGCTCGCTGGGCGGGCACACCCTCCACAGGGCACCCCTCCGGGCTCGCTGGGCGGGCACACCCTCCACAGACCACAGAGAGACAGAGAAAGAGAGAAAGTGAGAAAGCAAGCCACCAGGTCTGGGACTTGAACTGTGGTCAGCCACATGTCCAGAGCCTTAACCACATTGCTACCTGCTGGTACCCTAAAAAATAATTCTTAAGAAAATTGTTTTATTTATGGGGCCAGCAGATGGTGCAGTAGTTAAGGTGATGAAACCCCACATGGCCGACTGTGGTCGAGTCCTGGACCTGGTGGCTTGCTTTCTGACTTTCCCTTTCTCTCTGGTCAAATAAAATAATAATAATAACAGATAAAATAAATAATTCTAAAAATAAAGTATTAAACAATTTATTTTATTTTATTAATTTACTTATTTAAATTTTGACCAGAGATAGAGTGAGACAGAGAAGCAAAGTGAGAAAGCAAGCCGCCAGGTCTAAGACTCGAACCACAGTAGGCCACATGGGAGTCCAGCACCCTTAACCACTATGCCACCTGCCAGCCATGGCTTTTCAAGTTTTGCCACTACTTTCATCTCATGGTAATCTAGTGGGGATGTACTGGGCTAGTCAGGATTCCCCACTTGGTGGATAGGAAAACACATGCAGAAATGTTCACTGGCATGTCTTCACACAGAATGGTGGTGGTGAATAGTTTGTGAATTCAGACCTAACATGGTTAGGGACCAGCTTACGGACTTTTTACATGTGCGACCCTGTGGAAGTCACTTAACCTTTCTGAATTTTAGTTTTACCATTGATAAAAAGAACAGCAATAGGGACCAGCAGTTTGTGTAATGGCTATGTTGCTGGACTCCCACGTAGTTGATCACAGTTCAAGTCCCATACCCAGTGGCTTAAACTCATGCCAGGCATGTTTGTGTGGGTGCCCAAGATCCTGAGAGGAGAATGGAGGAGAAGGGATTGTGGCGTGGCCATCCCCCCAGGGGTGATTTCTTGCTTTCTATCTGTCTCTCTGTGTCTTTCTGGCAAGCGCAGGTTCCCTATAGCAACGGCCTCTCAAAAAAAAAAAAAAAAAAAGAACAGCAATAGTTCTTGTTTCAATAGGTGACCCTGGGGGCCAGTAGATGGTGCAGTGGTTGTATCACTGTACTCCCATATGGCCGACCACTGTTCGAATCCTGGATCCGATGATTTCAAAATCACACCAGGCATGTGCAGGTGAGTACCCAATATCCCAGGAGGAGAATGGAGGAGAAGGGACTGTGGTGTGGCCATCCTCCCTAGAGGTTGATTCCTCAATTTCCCTCTCACTATCTCTGTTTCTATCTCTCTCTGTGGTGAGCACATGTGCCCTAAGCCAAAAGCGTCTGAAGTATACTGAAGTGCAGCACTGGCAGCCACACACGTGAACAAAGGTTTGAATCCCTGGAATGGCCTAAAGGCTCATGTGTAAGTGCCCAACATCCTAACAAGATAGAGGCTGGAGAAAGGGGACGATGGAGTGACCAGACTCTGTCAAGAATGTTTTTCTCTCTTTCTCTGTCTTACTCAACTTCTTTCCCTGGCCCACTCTCCCATAAGCATACATAATCATGAATTCCTTTTTTAAAAGATGAATGTTGGGACCAGCAGGTGCCTTAGTGGTTAAAGCGTTGGACTCCCACATGGTCAGCCACGGTTCAAGTCCCGAACCTGGCAGTAGTATGTGTGCTCAAAACTCCAAGAGGAGGCTGAAGGAGAAGGACTGCAGCATGGCCATCCCTCCCAGGGGGTGATTTCTCATTTTCTCTCACTCTCTTTCTCTTGGGCAAACACCTGGACTATGCAGCAAAAATCTCTCTATGAAAAAAAAGTGTTGGGCTTTTCCTCTCTCTCTCTCTCTGGTCAAACTAAAATAAATAAAGTTAAAGAAAACATTAAAAAAAGAGGAGGGCCTGGCAAGTGGTGTGGTGGTTAAGGGTGCTGAACTCCCACGTGGCTAACTGTGGTTTAGGTCCCAGATCTGGTGGCTTGCTTTCTCACTCTCTCTCTCAAGTTCTCTCTCTCTCTTTCTGTACCTCCCTAGTCAAACTAAAATAAATAAATAAATAAAGTTAAATTATATATATAGATATACATAAAAGAAAAGGTGTTGGGACCAGCAGAGGGCAAAATGGTTACATCACTGGACTCCCACATAGTCGACTGTGAGTCAAGTCTCAGACCCAGTGGCTTAAAACTCACGCCAGGCGCGTGTGCACACGTGTCCAAAATGCCAAGAGGAGACTGGAGGAGAAGAGATTATGGCATGGCCATTCCCCCTGGGGGGATGATTTCTTGCTTTCTGTCTCTTTTTCTCTGTCTCTCCAGCAAGTGCATGCACGCTATAGCAAAAATCTCTCTTATAAAAAAAAAAAAAAACACAAGAATGGGGCCAGCAAGTGGCGTGGTGGTTAAGGTGGCTGGACTCCCACGTGGCTGACTGTGGGTCAAGTCCCAGACCTGGCAGTTTATTTTCTTTCTTTTTTTTGGAGAGGTTTTTGCTATAGGGCGCATGCGCTCGCCAGACAGACAGAGAGAAACAGAGAGACAGAAAGCGAGAAATCACCCCCCAGGGGGGATGGCCACACCGCAATCCCTTCTCCTCCATTCTCCTCTCAGGATCTTGGGCACACACCCA